AGTCACGATCATAAATCACTATGCCATGAGCAAATCCATAGCACACCACATAGTGACAATAAATATATAATATATAATATATAATATATAAACATAATAGAGATACACGATATTAGATATATAATCAAATAATTGAATTGGATTGCCGAATAATTAAAATGATTTATACTGGCAGGTCCGACTTTGCTATATGTGGCATAGCATTTGTTTTCTCCTTAATTGTATAGCATATTGGTATACATATCTCTGCAAAATTTGCTCTATTTTCAAAATTAAAAAAGAAAAAGAAGATATTAGATTTTTGCGAGTATTTCACAAATAATTCTAAATTTCTCTCATACAAACAAACAGAAAGTGAACAAATTGTTCGCAAATAATTAATTTTCTCTAATCAGTCAAATCAATACATTAATATATCAGCTTTTTCTCCGCACACACATGTTACTACTAAAGATATTTATAAAAATTGTACATTAACACTTACCATTGTCATTATATGCTAAGATGCAATGTGGGTTCTCCTTCTGACGTTTGATAGCATTTGCGATCTCTTGTTTACGACATTCTTGAACATACTTGATAGCTTCCAGCCAATATTCCATAGCTTTGTGTACGCGTTGATTCATCGTGGTCCCACGTAAGCGTTCCATCTGTTTTGCAAAATTGAAAACAATGATATACGCACTGTGTATAGGAGTTGTATAGTGTATTGTACATAAGATAAGAATTATATCGTGTACATGTATGTAAACAATGTAATACGTATAATTGTAACAATTATAAACGCATATGTAATATACGACAACGCTTTTCTCTCCATTTCGAATAATTTAGATTATTGCAAATTATTATACATTCATGGCAACTTATTTTTCATTTAATTTTTGTAGTAACGTAAATAGAGAGAAGAAAAACTGTTTTCTTTTTATGTCATTGTTTACTCACTTTTGCTATTAATGTAATAACACGGGCGTGTTCTCTCAAATAATCAATTATCAAGCGATCAACTCTTGATGGATTTCCCTGAAGTCGTGGGATAGGTATATTATTCGCACTGGTTACTCGTTTCCCTGGAAAATGCGCAGCCAATCCAGCTTCGCATTTCTTACGTTCCTTCTCCAATTGCTTAAATTGTTCATACGTTTGTTCGAGATTAAAATGCAATATACTCGAAGGACCTGTCTTTCTAGCTGCACCATTCCCATTTCTAAGACTCAGATTGCCTCCGTAAAGAGCGGAAAATAATCGCGGTACAGGATGAACCGGAACAGAAACCGGCATTGCTGATGGAAATGATCTCACGCTATTTGTACCCGATATCATTCCCGAATTAAAAATTATATCAGGAGGCGGGATCCCGGCTGGAATGCTCTGTATTTTCGATATATGGTGTCGTTGTTTCAAAATATGATTGGACAAGACATCCTTGTCTAATGCGCATCTCGTAATACGATCAGTCAAATGACTTCCCGAGGGAAAGGCTATTTCCTTAGCCATGTCAAATCCATCCGATTTGTACGCATTATTGAGTTTAGGCTGCTTCGGGTCGTTGTGATAAAATGTGGAATTTTGTTGCAATATCTTCAAAGTGTCGCCACTGTTGGCAGTGTACTGTTGATAATTGTGACAACCATACTTGGCAATAGGCTGATATAAGTTACGTGAACTCAGATTCTTTGGAAATCCTATCGGTGAGTATGTTTTGGTTTCGATAAACTTTGATTTCGGGTTAATCATCTTCAGTAAGCCATTATCAATTCTACAATCACTAGGGAGACAAACGTTCTCATTTGTGTCCAAATTATTCGCCGAAGATGCGATAAAGCTATTTGTACCAGGGGGATAATAATTGATCAAGTTTTTGTAATCTTGGTCCACAGCTTGATCCGCCAATTTGTAGCTACGAGTTTGTGACTGCTGCAAGAACTGAATCTGCTCGTTAGGTATGCTAACACTCGTCATATTTAATCTAGCGGCATCGTCCCTAGCAAAGTCGCCGCTACCATTACCTTGTATACCGCTTCCGAAACAAGTGTGTAAAGTTGTATCAGCGGGTGAAAAATGTTGTAACGGCGAGTTCGATAAGAAACTAGAATCGACGCTTAGATCAGTCATCGCCGAGTTGGGCCTATATCCGGAACCAATATTACTGGTAACATTGTATATATCGTGCATATTTACTACAGTATTACCGTACGAGTTCAGTGATGTGCTTTGTCTCGTACTGTTACGATATTCTAGCTCATTGATTGGAACGGAATTTGGTGAATCTAGGGTCAGACTTAACGCGGTCACATTAAAATTAAGGTCAGGTTTAACGCAATTTGAGATTCTCGAATAATTTCCAATCAATTCGCCTCTGCAGCCCATTGAGGGAGTTAATAACGATTCCGTCCAGTTACTAGATTGTTTGCCGTAATTCGGTCCATTTGTAGTTGTTGGCAAATCATTGCACGATGGCATGTTAGTCCCGCTCGTGTACATATTTCCATCATTTGAATGTATAACATGAGATCGAGGATCGGACAAATACGCATTCGTTGTAAGTTCATTGCTACATGCATTATTCTGCTCTGCTATAGTCTGCTCGATGCATGCACCGATATTTAGCGTCTTCAAGTCGTTACAAAGATTATTAGGCGATTGATGATATTCGTTCTTTGTATTATTGTAAATATTATTTGTAAACTTGCCACATGGATAACCAACACCTAAATGATTTATATAATCGGTCAAATAAGTGTCTGAACTATCTCCAATTTGGTTAGAGCAAGAATTGGTAAACTCTGCTCGGTAATGCGTATTTCCACTGTTGTAGCTATCGCGACAAGTATCAATGGTAATGGAATCTTCGTCGAGAATTTTTGATACTAAGTCGTTAACCATTGGATTATTCAAGTCTTGACTCAAGTCCTCGTCTTCAAAATTATTCATCTAAAATAAAGACAAATTGCAACGAGTCTATTAAGTGGCTGATGACAAGTTGAAAATTTGTTACAATATTGTAATACATTGCATGTACATATATACATATATATAAAGAGTAACAAAAAGGTGTCTGCTACTTTAAGAGTGGATAGTACACATCAAAATGATGAAAAAAGTTCATATCAACATAGATCCGCAAATGACCCCCTATCAAGTTATAGGCATTACAACTTTTGAACTTAAATTCATTGCTAAAATTATTAAATGAACACAAAAAATGAATATGCCACTTTGAACATCTTCTTTAATTTTTGTACTTGTTCTGACAACTTAAAACGTATTCTGTTCGTTAATAAACCAAATTTTTTTAAGCTCAAAAGTTGCAATGCATAACTCGATAGGGGATTATTTGCGGACCTATGTTGATAGGAACTTTTTTCATCATTTTGATGTGTATTACCCATCCTTAAAGTAGCGGATACTCTTTTTGTTACACCCTGTATATATAAAAATTGCTATAACACACACAAGTAAAATTTTTATATTACTTACATTTCTTTTTGCACCGCAATCCGTTAAGTCATAGTTCCAATGATTGTACTCCACACTATGCATGCCCCTAGAATAAATCTTTCGTGGTACTTCCAACATACTGACACTGTGTTCGATCTCGTTATTCTTCTATATATGAAAACAATTATCGATATGAAATTTTAGACAAGTTTGTACATACAGTTGATAAAATGTATGATACGCGATAATTTTTAAAGCGGAGATGGTTTGCCATGATTAATAACAACTAGAATTCCATACATGTAGAATTTCCGTAATATTTGAATATTCTATTTATCCGATTAATTTGAAAAAGAATCATAAAATATAAATCAAGCGTCGTATAATTTTTAATGGTTTGCCATGATTAATAACAACTAGAATTCCATACATGTAGAATTTCCGTAATATTTGAATATTCTATTTATCCGATTATCCGATTAAAGAATCATAAAATATAAATCAAGCG